CCCAAAACTTGCCAAGGTTACAGAGTTTAAACTTTGTCTGAGGGCAGCTGAGGCAACTCTCTCTGCTTTAGTGTCACTTTTACCCCCCCCTTTTTCAATTTGCAGCTAAGGAGACAGAATACGACAAAGACAACAGCAGGACACAGATCACCACTGATTCAGATTTACACCCACTAAGAGGAACATTAGATTGATTGTGGGCAATCCCTGCCTGTAATGAAACACCATTTGTGCTTTGGATGAGAGCTCTGTATGGTAGTGATGGTATGATTAGGTCAGGGTGATACTGTCGTCCATGAAGAATGTGCTTCTCTGTTCCAAAGGGGAGAAGTACAGACAGACAGATGCAAAAGAGTGGGCACACTGGGTGCTATCAGAGCTCGGGCCCACTTTGTTGGCTAAATATACCCCGGGTGTAAGAGGACAGATTAAGCCAGGTGTCAGAACAGCACGTGCTTGAGGAGGTCAAATTTCTGTGAATCGGCATTAAAATACAGTATCAGCCTGCAACTTAATCCCCGCTGTGCAACAAATAACAAAGTATGATAGGTTGAGACACGTTCAATCCTTACCAGCAGCATTTCACCCGAAACCCCTCTGTTGTTGAATACCACGCATCTGAAATACACAAAACATGTACTTTTACAAATTATTAACGTCTCCTAAATGATTTCTTTATTAACTTCATCTGTTGACTGTAAATAAAACAAGTTCAAAAAGAGCTGAAGATGCGACTGGTTGACCAACAGAACTAATTAGCAACTATTTTACTAATTGATTCATTATTTAAGTAATTTGTGAAAGAAAATGGCAGAAATTAATGAGTTAGCTTACCAAATGTAAATTATTTCTGTTTTTCTAAGTCTTCTGTGTTTATAGACTAAATATTTGAGCTGTCACCATCGTATGACAATATGTATCGTTTCAGATTAGGCTCTATTGTTGATTTTGTTGTCACAACTCACGCTCATTACTGCAATATATTTCGCGATTTGGACGATCCTTTGTGTTTCCCACAGGGCACAGAGGCAGCCAGGAAAATCTGAATGTGACACAGAGTGGGGTAATTCCTTACAGAAGAAGTCCGTACCTAAAAGAGTGGCTACGTTTGTCACATTCATGTGGTTTCGGGGTATGAAAAGTATGACAGAGAAAAACAAACCATACTTTGCAAACTATGCTGCAGACCCGTCCCCACAGACGCAAATACCACTAATCTGTTTTATCACGTAGCATTCACAGTATATATAAACCACGTACGCAAGTGCTCACACCAAACCCCAGATTTAGAACTAGGCTTATAACTATTTATTCACCGAATTTACAGAAATTGTGCTATATTGCGATATGTATCGTGATCATCATTATAACTAATCTACAGTGGAATATGTGATATTGTAATTTTTTGCTGACATTTTATAGATCAAACAATTTATAGAAAAAAATGATTATTATTATATTATTATTATGAAAATATTAGTTGCAACCCTAATGCAGTGATTGTAACTGGATAAAATTCAGCTATTCTGATTGTTTTACTAATTTTTCAAATAAAGATGCTGGTACATGTGCTGGAACTAGTTTATTAAATGCGAGTATTTTGTGGTTTACCCAGTTTTATATAATTGAAAATTTAATATCTTTGGGTTTTCAGCTGATGGTTGGAAGTATGAATGTGTCACCCTGTCAGGCTCTGGGCAACTATGATTTAAGAAAAAAATATAATTTACTGTTATTTTATATACAAAAAGATTTCTCAGTTGATTAAGAAAATAAGGCAATATAACAAGAAATGGCCGGTTTCAATGAAGAAATCAATGAAGAAAAGCATATGTACAAGGAAGAACATTTACATAGCACATAGCATAAGTATAGTAGGGTTTACCTACTATACTTATGCTTTACAAGTTAATGACTTTGCATGTTCAAAGGAACACAGTGGCCCAAATTCCTTTAAACAAATGTTCCCTACTTTAAAAAAAAAATTGAACTGGGGATATGTTGAGCTATGCAGAGAGGCACAGCTGTGTGAACAGCATTCTGTTTGTACTGTAGAGCAAATCAGCATCCCTCCTCGCCCCACATCTCTCGCCAGTCATCTATTATCTGGTGGAGTCAGACCTGCTGTTTTTATCGGTGTAACCCAGCAGCAGGGTAGGGCTGGATGAGGTGTTGCAAGAGGACGAGAAGGAGGTGCTTAAACACACACTGCAACATAGACTCGGAAGCTGGTCTGGGCTAAGCTGCAAAGCTTGTACCGGGATAAGCTGTAATTCATTAAGCTACACAGACAGGGGTGAGGGGTGGAAGATGCTGAGTTTGCCGGCTCTCTTCCTATGCCTTCCAAAATCTGGGTGAAATAATGAGTGCAGAGAACACAGAGAAAGGGCCTATTGCAGAGGGAGAAAGGCAGGGGAAAACTGCCTCTCTCTGCAACTCTGCAAGCTTGTGCTACGTTCGGCTATTTACAAAAGCAGCTCTTGACACAAAGCTGAGCTGCCCACTTTATTTGTGCACTTCACCTGAAATAACCCAAAGCCCCTGTCACTCAAGCACCCATTACATAAAAGTTACAAAATGGCTACAGAAGAAGAGTGTCAGGTTTTACCTTTTAATCGACTGTTATGACTGTTGAAGTATTCTGACTTTAATTTGGGGAAATATCTGCATGCTAGGTGAATGGCAAATTAGAGCATAAAACACAACACAGAGAATGTCAGTTGTGTGATTTAGTGCCCCGAGTGTGTGCTCAGCACTGGACCTGAGCCAGGGTCTCTGGCCAAGACCACCCACCTATAGCCCAGATCCCGGCTCTGTTGGACCATGTGCAGGATGTAGGACTCTCGGCTGGTGCCGGTCAGACCGGGGAGAAGTAGGACTGTGGGCCTGGTGGCAGGGTCGGGATGAGAGAAGCTGTCGTCGTTGTCAAACCAATCCAAAGAGATCTGTCCTCCATCTGCTGCCTTAATAAGCTCACTGCAGAGAGAAGCAGGACATGCAACTCAGCAACAAGGATCTTTCCGGACATTTTCCTCTATCTGTATCTCTGTATCATCTATTTCTTTTGTCTCCTTCATACACATGCTAACAATCAAGCTGACACACGGGACAATATTGATCAGAGAAAGTACCACATGGATATGTGGCGCTCACTGAAAGCTGCCTTATTTCCCTTGTGATCAACTTTAGATAAAGAGGAGTGCATTACGCCAGTGGGTTCTTATGATCACTCAGCGTTTGACATTAAGGATGTCCCATTGTCCCAGGGACAATGAAAGTAGCAACTTTCTGAGACAATTATAGGACAGAAATGTATCACTACAAATTAAATTATTACATTTATATGTATTTTATCTAGTTACACTGTATTTTCTTTGTAATTTTATATGTATTTTATATTGTTTTACCTGTAAGGTGACCTTGGGGGTTTATGAAGAGCGCCAACAAATAATTTTTATTATTTATTATTATTATTTATATTATTATTGATTATTGTTATTATGTGTGTGGAG